GGAATATTATTCAGCCATAAGAAGAAAATAAGTCCTACCATTTGCAACAACATGGATGGAGCTAGAGGGTATTATGCTCAGTGAAATAAGCCAGGTGGAGAAAGACAAGTACCAAATGATTTCACTCATATGTGGAGTATAAGAACAAAGAAAAACTGAAGGAACAAAACAGCAGCAGAATCACAGATCCCAAGAATGGACTAACAGTTACCAAAGGGAAAGGGACTGGGGAGGATGGGTGGGAAGGGAGGGATAAGGGTGGGGAAAAAAGAAAGAGGGCATTACAATTAGCATGTATAATGTGGAGGGGGGGCACGGAGAGGGCTGTGCAACAGAGAGAAGACAAGTAGTGATTTTACAGCGTCTTCCTACGCTGATGGACAGTGACTGTAATGGGGTTTGTGGGGGGGAACTTGGTGAAGGGGGGAGCCTAGTAAACACAATGTTCTTCATGTAACTGTAGATTAATGATACCAAAAAACATAATGATGAATCAATTAAAAAAGAAAGAAAGAAAGAAGTGGGTGGCAAAAAAAAAAGAAAGTCCAGCCTTCTTGTTCTTGGAGGGGATCAAAATTCCACGCTGCATGAAAAATTCACTGGGGATAGTCATATCAAGATTCCAGAGAGGGTATTCTGTTATCTATAGCTATATCTACAACTATGAACTATATCTATATTTTACTATGTATCTGTCAATATATAAAATGTCTATTGTGCATAGATATATTATAATATTTATTACTCTTCTATTATAGTTGTTACCCATATGTCTTTGCTGGATAAGCAGAATTCTGAGTTTACAGCTAGACACTAGATCTTGGTGAAAGGTAGAGTGCTGGAGTCTTAGACACTGTTATTGTTCAATGTATGGAGTGTCTCTTAATTATTTATGGCAATTCATATCTTTTGGAAAATTTTAATTTCACCAGTAAAGGGCCATTTCTAGAATTCATACATTAATTGTACTAACAGGAGATGAAGTTCACCACTAAGTACACATTTCTGGCATGCAGGATGAAAACTAGCAAAGCTTTGATAACTCAGAAATACAGATGTCATAGCTGCCTCTGGGGTAGAAGTTTATTGATGTCAAGAATATATGTTGCTGAAGAGAATTCCATGTGCATTGGGGAATGCTTGGTAACAATTATATTTATGTATATAGTATATATGTAAATATATATATGTATGTATATGATATATATTTTGTATAGATGTTGTTTATAGATATAATCATGTTGTCTATACTGAAGTATTTAAAATAACTTTGTCATCATATCAGTGCTGTTTCTGCTTCTATTCTGGAAGTTGTTTCCTTCTCATTGCATCATTAACTTTGGACACTTCTGCCCGCTTTACTGAATTAAAAGGTCTCTCAAGGACAGAAATACATGATTTCTGTTCCTTCAACATTTTGCATGGTGTCTCACAAACAAATATGCTCAGTAAGTATTTTGAATAATAAACTCTTTTCTAGAAGTTCTAATTCTTGTTTTATCTATGTTTGAACTTTTGGCTTTCAGCTCCTTTAAAATTCATCTTCTTTGATATGATGACTTGATATTTTTATATGAAAAAAAGGGAGAATCTAGGCAGAACTGGTCATTAAGTGCTTGGTGGCCATTAGACTTCAGAAATTATATTATCATGCTCTGTCATTTTTTTAAGAAAAAAGACTGCAAGAGAACTCATGTGACTCAACAATCTGGTACAGAACATGTTTTCCAAACCAAGACCATACCATTGTCATCACTTAACAGCCCCATGGTAATCTCAAATTCCAGCCACTTATTTTGTAAGAGAGATCAGTTGGAAAGATGCAATTATCATTATTCATCTACCTTGCCAGTGCTTCCATCTTATTTGCTCCAGTTTCTTCCTCACAGGCATGTCGGAAGATAGATGTGAGACGGTTTGCCAGACTTCTTTTGAGAAATCACTGACTGGGAGACAAAAACCAACGTTTATTTTTGCTTCTATAAAGACTGGAGCCTGAGCTACCTAATCATTACAGTATTTTAAGAGTGAATAACTTCTAAAAGCCCCTGACAATTTCTGAGGCTAACTGTACCTCCTACAGCTTTACCCATAATCTGAACCAGGAAGATTTCTCTCTCAGCAGACAGCCTGTTCCTCAGAAACAATAAGATGGAAGCAGAGCAAAAATGATTAAATTCCTCTTTGTGGTTATTGGTTCTCTGTGGGCTGGGGTTATTAGGCAAGGGATGAGTGCCTGGTTTTCTGATGCTGCATGTCCAGCAGTCTCAAGATATACTCACTGTTGGAGCAGTTTTTTCAGAGCTGGATTTCAAAGTCATCTTCTCCAAGGATGTAAATTGTTTAGTCACCCCTGAAGAGGAATGCACCAAAGAGAGTATGACATATAATTTTCTGGCTCAGTGCTTATACTGTTCTATGTCTTCTAACACCTCAAAATTAGGGTCACCAGATCGGTCCTCAAAGAAGAGTGAGCCAGATTTTCTATTGTGAATAAGTAAATAGGTAACTTAAGGGCTAGAGAAGTTAACAGTATGATGAAAACTGTTCAACGTGTGAAATTCTGAATTTTTGTGGAGTTTTGAATCATTGCTCCACACTAAAGAGAAAGAATTGAGCTCAGTTATGGACAAGGAAGAATACACATGACTCGATGTGAGTCTCTGGTGAATTACCTCAGTGTGATTTACCTTCCTGGGTGATCTTTCATCTATTGACTTTTAAATACTATTAAAAAAAAAAGAAATCATTAAAGCTGTGCTCAATTCCTGAGTCTTGGCACATGTTCCTGATCAGCATGAAGTATATTTCAAATAATTTAGTTATGAGTGGTCTTTAGTGATGTGCTTCTTTTTTGAAAAAAAAAAATCAGATACAAAGCAGCCCTTTCAATAACTTTAGTCACGCTATCTTGCCTTTCTGTTTGCTATGTTGTGTGGGAGACAAAGTTAGAATTACTTCCTGGGAGCTGCAACAGCCCATCTGTCCTATGTACCAGAGCAAAACGCAGGAAGCAAACACTCCAGTGAACCAAGAGAAAAGGTCGAGAGCTCCTCCATGATCAATACTCACTGAGAAATAGAGACTACATGAAGTAGAGGGTAATTAAAAAAATACAAGAGCTCTGTATGAAATGTGCTTATGATTCAGGAATGTTCTACAGAAACCATGTTAGTATTATCTCTTTACTTCTCTGACATTATAGTACAGAAGATTAATCTTGGAGTTAACTCTCAAGAAACTTAAATTTAGTAAAAGAGATGAAGAAAGTATATGCCAGTTACAGCTTATTAAGCATTTACTCTTTTTCAGGTCGGTGCTAAACACTTTACATATATAGTCTCATGAAACCCTCATGAAAACACATAAGTCTGGTAAGATTATCTCTATTAACTCTATTAATGAGAAATACTCAAATTTGAGCATTTAAGAAAGCTTACCTGATGTCACTTAAATACTGATCAGAGATTTCATAATCTATTTTCAAAGTCAATGATGTTCTTAATATTGCCTCAGATAACAATAATGGAACTTAGAATGTGCCAAATGCTGTAAGAAGATGGTAAATGAAGAATTGCTGGACTGGGAGAAGACAGAGACCTCTCAGAGAGAGATTCATAGAAAAGTCATTAAAAAACAGGTAGTAAATTAGAATGTGAACCACACTAGCCTAAAGGCACTGCAGAGTCCCTAAGGGTTTCTGCTTAATTCCCTCGGTCTCTCTGTCCAGCCAGCCAAATGACCAACTGAATTATGAGTGTGGCACTGCCCTCAGGACCTACACACATTTACTGGGAAGATAACTTACTGTGGGAATTGCCATCCACTCATTTTCTCTTAAGAACTGCAAAAATCTGCAGATTCTATCTGGAACTTGGGAAATCATTTATAATGTGTTATTTCCCTACTCTTGGGCTTGAAGGAACACTTTATTTGCATTATTGATTGAAAAGTAATTTAAATTGCCTTTGTGCTGAGGTGGCTTGGGAGGTGAGAATCATTTTTTAAGAGTGTCTTGAAAAAATCAAAACAATACTTCCAGGTTTCACTAGTTTCATCAAATAACAAGACAGGTCACGTGTTCTCTGCCCATCTAGTTTTATGTGGGTTGAAGGTACAGGGACAGACAGGGCTCCCAATCCCATGTACTTCAGTAGCAAACATCAAGGAAGCTGATTCAGAGCCACATCGTGAGTCTCAGAGGTTCTCTAAGTTTGAAGCAGTTCTAAAGCTCATATTTTTAACTAAAACTCTTATTTTTTAATAGCTTTTCTTAATACAGGGATTACCCTTTATTTAATGATAAAGTAAATTACAATCCTTAGTTATGAGTGGTCTTTAGTGATGTGCTTCTTTTTTGAAAAAAAAAAATCAGATACAAAGCAGCCCTTTCAATAACTTTAGTCACGCTATCTTGCCTTTCTGTTTGCTATGTTGTGTGGGAGACAAAGTTAGAATTACTTCCTGGGAGCTGCAACAGCCCATCTGTCCTATGTACCAGAGCAAAACGCAGGAAGCAAACACTCCAGTGAACCAAGAGAAAAGGTCGAGAGCTCCTCCATGATCAATACTCACTGAGAAATAGAGACTACATGAAGTAGAGGGTAATTAAAAAAATACAAGAGCTCTGTATGAAATGTGCTTATGATTCAGGAATGTTCTACAGAAACCATGTTAGTATTATCTCTTTACTTCTCTGACATTATAGTACAGAAGATTAATCTTGGAGTTAACTCTCAAGAAACTTAAATTTAGTAAAAGAGATGAAGAAAGTATATGCCAGTTACAGCTTATTAAGCATTTACTCTTTTTCAGGTCGGTGCTAAACACTTTACATATATAGTCTCATGAAACCCTCATGAAAACACATAAGTCTGGTAAGATTATCTCTATTAACTCTATTAATGAGAAATACTCAAATTTGAGCATTTAAGAAAGCTTACCTGATGTCACTTAAATACTGATCAGAGATTTCATAATCTATTTTCAAAGTCAATGATGTTCTTAATATTGCCTCAGATAACAATAATGGAACTTAGAATGTGCCAAATGCTGTAAGAAGATGGTAAATGAAGAATTGCTGGACTGGGAGAAGACAGAGACCTCTCAGAGAGAGATTCATAGAAAAGTCATTAAAAAACAGGTAGTAAATTAGAATGTGAACCACACTAGCCTAAAGGCACTGCAGAGTCCCTAAGGGTTTCTGCTTAATTCCCTCGGTCTCTCTGTCCAGCCAGCCAAATGACCAACTGAATTATGAGTGTGGCACTGCCCTCAGGACCTACACACATTTACTGGGAAGATAACTTACTGTGGGAATTGCCATCCACTCATTTTCTCTTAAGAACTGCAAAAATCTGCAGATTCTATCTGGAACTTGGGAAATCATTTATAATGTGTTATTTCCCTACTCTTGGGCTTGAAGGAACACTTTATTTGCATTATTGATTGAAAAGTAATTTAAATTGCCTTTGTGCTGAGGTGGCTTGGGAGGTGAGAATCATTTTTTAAGAGTGTCTTGAAAAAATCAAAACAATACTTCCAGGTTTCACTAGTTTCATCAAATAACAAGACAGGTCACGTGTTCTCTGCCCATCTAGTTTTATGTGGGTTGAAGGTACAGGGACAGACAGGGCTCCCAATCCCATGTACTTCAGTAGCAAACATCAAGGAAGCTGATTCAGAGCCACATCGTGAGTCTCAGAGGTTCTCTAAGTTTGAAGCAGTTCTAAAGCTCATATTTTTAACTAAAACTCTTATTTTTTAATAGCTTTTCTTAATACAGGGATTACCCTTTATTTAATGATAAAGTAAATTACAATCCTGTTTACTTATTATATAAATTATATTGTAATTACATTACTTAAGAAAAATCTACCACAATTTTATTCCCTCAAATTAAAAACTCCTATTTTTTTTTGCCTTTTTCTTGGTTTTCTATATATTGCCATAATACACACAATTTGAACTTTGTTATATTTAGAGTATTTATACTACTCTGTAATTTGCTTTTGTCTATCATAAGAGAAGCATTTCCTATGTTGCTCCATAGTCTTCAAAATTAACATCCTAATGACTAAGAAAACATTAATTATAAATATCATTTATTATTTTGCATGAAGATTGTCTTTAAATTTTAGTCAAAGTAAAATAATAGTATTCAATTTTAATGCCTTTATATTCCAGATTTTTGGATTATTATTATTGTTTTATTTGTCTGCATGACTTCTGAAACCTATATTGATATCTATACCTTTCTTATTTATATGGGCTACTTTTAGTCTCAAATCATTTCTAAAAGTATAAGGGTTGTGTATAATTAAATAAGATAAGCAAGCCAATGAACATATCCTCACAATCACATGCTTTGACATTGCTCTGGGTGAGGGACGAGGGAAACGGCAAGCAGAAATGGAGAGTGGGCCGCCACTCTCTTCATTCTGTGGCCTTTATCTCATGGGTGGTACTCTCCCTTATCCTCATTTGATTCTGGTGGTCATGTGCTCTGCAATCAAAACATAGGGCAAAGGATAACAGCTATTGAAAGAGTTACTTTTCTAATGGTGAAATTTCCAATCATACATTTCATGGAAAAACACTTTGAAGAGGAATTTCTTCAACCATTGAAATTTGGCTAAAATTTGACCTCATTATGGTGCAGGTATACTTGAGTGGTTCTAAAAAGTTTTTGTAGTCACTAAGTTTTCTGGGCATTTCTGAAAACATAATTCTCAAGCCTACTCTGCTCTGGGTTGCACTGTATTTTGGGTCTATACCCACCACAAGATGAAGTGCACATTGACCCTATTTAGTTTAACAATTTCCACTAGTTCTTTTTTATAGTTTCTATTACTCCACTGAGAGAGCCTATATTTTCTTTTATTATGAGTGTATTTTCCTGTCTCTCAATAAACATAGTTTATTAACTGACTGAAATGCTTATCTACTTATTCTAACACTTGAGCCATCTCAAATTTGGTGACCATTGATTGTTTTTTCTCTTGAGAATGGGTCATATTTATTCTTCCAAAGAGTGATGATATTTTTGTTTAATAGGCAATGACTTCGTTGAATATAAACTACAAACTTTGTCTCCCAGGCAACCAGTCAAATCTCAGTCCAGTTTTCTGTGTATTTAGTTTTTTTTCTTTGTCCTGCCTCCATGGGATTGCTTAGAGACTTCCCACACAGGCATGGCTCAGTGGTCAGCCAGAGATTTTGACCAAAGTTTATACAAGGATTTGGAGTCCTTCTCTCTGGCTCTATTTGTTCTGGGAGGTCTACCCTTACTATTCAAAAACAGTAACTACCCTGAACCCTATCCTCTGATTCTGCAGGTCCAAAAGTCTGCACATTATTGTAGCTTTGCTCCTTACGCATGGCAGTATATGCCACCTGCCCTCAGGCTAAAATAACAGGAAATTCACTGCCTGCATACAATTTCTAAGTTTCAATTCTTCTCATGTTCACCCTCCAGATTCTTTAGGTTGTTATTTTATTTTGTATTTTTTCCAGATTTTATAGTTGTTATTTATGACAAAGTAAGTCTATTAGGAGTGAGCTCATTTGACCATCACAGAAGCACAATCTAGCCAGAAAAATCCTTTTAAATCCCAGAGAGTGTCAAAACTAAACCAATCACATGGAGATTCCTGGATTTATATTCAACTTGGGCCTAAGAAGGCTCATTATGAACAAAAAACAAACTCATCGAGGGTAGTAGCATCAGGATCTTTCAGAAATCAGCCACCCACAGCCTGCCCATGCCCATGGTTATTCTAAAATGGCTCTGACACAGACTTCACCAGCACAAACACTGGCTTCTGCATCTCTTCTCTTAAAGCCTCTCTCTTCTGCCAATCTTGCCTGAACATATCTCTGCCAAAAAAATGTAATGTCCCATTGTCTAAATAATTACCAACTTCAAAGTGTAACTTCTTTTTTCACTTTCACTCATAAGTAGTAAATAGAAAACACTAAGCATTGACTGGGAAAATCAGAGCTTGCTCTATGCTGAGTAGTTGTATGACTTTGGTAAGTTTTCTAACCTCTCTGTATCTGAGTTCCCTAGAAATAAAGTGATATTAATATAATGCTACATCACAGGGTTGATTCACAGATTAAATGAGAGAATACTTGGGAGGCATGTAGCACAGTGCCTGGCACATGATGCCACCATGTGCTAGCTGCCATCCTTCCTATCTGAGTCTGGATTCTATCCTCTGTGAAATGGGGAATATAGGTCTATTTCAGTGATGAATGGTTCACAAGCAACAAATGTGAAAAGAAACACATAAGCCTTTCTTTAGATTTGAAGGCAAAAGCACGGTTTCAGCTGTACAAACTATTTGCTATTTCTTGCTCTGTACATTATGTAATTCATATCTTCCCACATCAAGATGACTTTCCTAAGTGTGAAATGACCCTCTTACATTTCTATCTTTTGAAATTCTTCCCACCTTTTAAGGCTAAGCAAATATAATACCAACCCCCGCTAAAACCATGCCTGACCTCACCCATCTACTCATCTCTCCTTCCTCTAACTTTCCAAAGTGCTTCTTACATTTTGTATATAATTTTCCCATTCATGCTATATTCTTTCCCATAGACCTTGTGTTGCTTGATAACAGTAACTGCAATTTTTCTATCTTTTCATCCTTAGCAGTTCTTCAAGCAATACTTATAAATAGTTAGATGTCAATAAATACCTAATAAATTGAATTAAAACATAGTGCTCAATAATTATATTAGGAAATAAGAAAAACACATTTTTAAAAAGTCTCTATTAATGCCTGAAATATTAAATGTAACATAAATTGTCATACTTCTTGATAACCCAAACTGATGATATCATCTTTAAAAAGAGTGAAATTTTTCCCTACTTTAACATATTTTAGGATGTGGGTTTACATGCAATTGAATTTCATTGTATCAGTAATGATGTGATTTCACATTCCAAAGTCCAGCCACATGGCCCCTTTGGCTCAACACAATTCACAGCTAGCAGAAACTGCTTAGTGCTGGATTTCACACCTGGTCTCCTGGGACTGGATGGAAGAGCAGTAAATAGTACTGAGAAAGATTACACAGATGCCTGAGACACCATCTGCGCATGGTGGTATAAATGACAAACCCAAGCTTTTCATCTATCATCCCCAAAGTTAACCTCCTAGCTAGGGGACTGAGACATAAACAGAGACAAAGTTCTGTTTTGCTGGCTGGCAGACGTGTTGCCTTCCCATCTGACTGAAAGCAAATGCCAAGTGTGCAGGCAAATAAAGCCTGCCCCGTTATCAAGCACTTGTTCCCGCTGCAGCGGAGTGATTCTAGAAGGCTGCCGTGTCAAGCTGTTTTCCTGAGATCCATCTGGAATTGTTTGCACAGTACATCTTCTTTGTTTACAATAACCAGACATCACTTCTTGTCCTCTACCTAGTCTAAATGCTGCTTTGTACATTTAGATATTAAAAGATGACTGCTTTAGTGGGTTAGAGGAAAGTCGGATAGTTTGTTTATACTCCTAAAAACTCCTCAAATGTAAACTAGGGGTACTCTGAGAGACTGTATATATCTCTCCCTTTGTTTCACAAGTGTGGAAATAAGCTTCTATGCCACAATAATGGCAAAAGTGCAGAACAATAAAAGCTCAATACTGTGGAATGCACAGCCTGCCTCTCCATTCACCCACTGATTGGGGGCTCTAAATCTCCAGGGCCTGCTTTCAATATGTTAAACAAGCAGATTATTATCAGTTTTAAAAATCCTGATTTTAACTCCCTAAACTGAATTACCTGATCCTTCAAAAATTATACATGTTGGCCAAATTCCTTTCCTTGAGCTGTGGGACTGAAGTGCCCATTTCCCTGTTAATTGTTGGCGAGCTCCTAGAAGCTGCCCATCTCTTGCAACAGTGACAGTTCACAGGGTGTTGTGTTTGTACTTTTCCAGGTCGGCCAGAGCATGATTCTCTAACTTTCTCTTCTGCTCCCAGTCAAAGAAACTGTACTTTTACGGGGCTCACGTGATTACGTCAGGCCCACCCAGATAAGATCAGCTGTGCCATGCAATCTTATCTAATCAAAGGAGTAAAAGCCGCAATTTTCATGGTCTGGGCATGTACACTGGAGTAGGAAAATATTGGGAGGCATCTTAGAATCCTGACTACCGTAGCATCTCCTATTTTTTTTTATAGCTATAGTGAACAGTAACTGTTATTTTCTATTAAATTTTCTAATTGGTTGTCACTATTGTATGGAAATAGTATTACTGAGTTTAGACCAGTGTGGGCAAGACTATGTATATGATTATTTCACTCCCAGGATTAGTTACGTTATATGCAAAGGTTAAGGAATTTTATAGCTGTGATTAACTTCCCAAATCAGTTGACTTTGAGTTAATCAAAAGGGAGGCTGTCCTGACAGGGCCTGACCTAATCAAGAGAACACAGAGGTGAATGAAACAATTTACTTTTGTCTAAGAAGTTGGGAGAGGCTACCTAAATTCGTAAGTTTAACATTGTTGAGATGTAGCTGTTACCTTAAGATATTTTAAAATGCTGTCTCAGGTGTCCTCAGAGCCTCAACAATCTCACCAAAAAGCTGTATGACTTTGGACAAGTCACTTTCCTTCTAAAGGTCATAGTTTCATCATCTGTAAAATGAAATATGCATAAAATTATCTCTGAGCTTTAAAATTCTTATGATTCTATGACTATCACTTTCCTTCAGATTGCTTTATTTAATGAAAAATTTTAAGAGAAGTTTGACTCTTAAACTGCTGACAGAAACACTTTATGACTCTTCATTCCCATAAAGTACATTAAAATGCTAGGAGGAATGGCTTTCTCTGCCATGAGATGGTATGTTACACTCATTTAGTGCTAATACAAATTCAGAACCTTTACATATATTCTCAGTTTGAAAGATTAGACTGCTGTTAAACTGTTGGGCACAAAATCAGATATTTTCCTGGTCCTAATGATCAATTTATATTGTGCAGGATATATAAAACTATCGACAAAAAGAAAAATGCCTGTTGTAAGCAAACCACGAAAGTCCACCCTTACCACAATGAATTCTAGTTTTCTATTTTCTTCTCTGTCCTCTCAACTAGAATGCAAGATGCTTGAGGACAGTAGTTGCTATTTATACACCAATATATCCCTAGCACCTGATACAATGGAAATAATAGCTACAAGGCATGATGCTGATCTATTTATATCAATTATCTTACTTAAGATGATATCAAGATTATCTGACAACCACCTTTTGAGAGGGGTACAAATGTCATCCCAATTTTACAGATGAGAAATGTAAGGAAAAGAGAGACTGAATAATTTATTCAAGTCTTAAGTGGCAGAGGCAAGATTCTTATTTTGTCTGACTCCAAACATGAGCTCTTAATAACATACAAACCTATCTTGTATGCTAAATCATATGTATTCACTTATAATTTTTAACTTATTAAAAACCATCA